CACATGCACAGAAGGGTAGATGACTTGCACCGCTGGAATGCCCATTGATTCCCTAATCTTCTCTGGTCCTCCCCATCCCAAGGAGGACAACAGCACATGCACAGAAGGGTAGGTGACTTGCACCGCTGGAATGCCCATTGATTCCCTTCAGGCCTCTTCCCCTGCGCCACCGTGGGACCCCACCGCTCCTACCCCTCAGGATTCCACCCAGATTCGTCCCTTCTTTGACTTCGCTGCCAGGAGTTGGATCATTAATCATCCTCTTAGAACTGCAGAGCTGGCAGGGACCCTGTGGTTCATTGAATCCAGCCCTTGTCCAGGAGGCACTGCGGAGACTCGAACTCCCAGCCTCCAACTAAACCACTGAGCTATTCAGACGGAGCAAGAAGCGAGAAATGTGGGAGGTGGGGACGGGTAGACGGGGCAGGGGGGCCGGGAGTGAAATCTTCATCAGATAGCATCGGACCTTTCCTCCCGTCTTTCGGAAGAGGCAACCACCTTGGCAGAGTCTTGCAGCAAAGGCGACGAAGAACCTTGTGAGACCCTGAAGACGGCCACGTTCTCTTGGGCGTATAAATCCCCGCCCGCACTGCCGGGCACGTAACCGTCTTCAGGGAGCCACAAGGCGGCCTTGCCTTCTCTCCCTTCTTCTCCAAACTCCCAGCAAAAGGGAGCTGGACCCATAAGGACCACATGGGTCGCGAAAGGTGGCTTTCCGGATGCTCGTGGGCGACAAAGCCCAGCATTCCTCGCTCCTACCTGCACTGAGCCGGGCTGATGGGCCTTGTAAGCTAAGGGTCTTCGGAGAGAGGATGGGAAAGCGAGACCCACAAGAAAAGCCGGGGAAGAGGAAAGCCGAACATGAGATAGATGGACCCAGTCAAGGAAACCACGGCGTAGGTTTTTCAGGTTTGCAGGGCTGTTAATCATCAGACCTTTAGGGGAGGGCATTAAGGGTGAGGGTCGCCATAAATCCGAAGCGATTTTCGCACACTAAAACAAGCTGCTCCCTGCCTGAATTCACCCCCTTTGGCCACCGTTTCTCTTCCTCTCTTTTGCTTCTCTTGAAAAGTGACAGGACGGAGTCCCATGTTCCCCTCCTACCTCGGGACCAGCCTTTCTCAGCCTTAGCCCCCCCTAGAAGAGGCTTGCCTAAAATATTACGGCCATGCTGTCTGAGGATCTTGGGATCTAGAGAGGCATGGCATCACCAGCCCGTCCCTCTCTTTTCCCCTCCCCCGCTTCACACGTGCGTTCTGACACGTTTAGAGAAGACAACTTCCAGCAAGGCCCGCTGAAAATTTGAGAACGGGTCACTCAGACAACCAGGGAAACCCTCCGACAAGAAAGCCCTAAATTCATCTGGGCGCCCATGGGACCTAATCGCAACCAAGGCTGGGCAGTCAGAACAGTCAAATCTTTCCTGCTCTCCCGTCCTTGGAGGATTGCTTTCCATATGATTTGTTTGTTGTTGTTGATATGATTTGTTTGTTGTTGTTGTTTTGCCCCAGGACACCAATTACAAGTGAAAACCGCGATGAGAAGCCTCTTGGTGAGGGATGCAAATGCACAGTCCAGCTGTTTGCGGACGTGTCCAGAAGGAATCGCTCCCTTACCGCAAAGTCTCATTTGCGGCAGGAGAGTCCAGAAGGAATCGCTCCCTCCCGAAGCCGGAGGTGAGGATGGGAGTAGTTCGATGGGATCTGGACCAACCGGGAAGAGGGAAGACCGAGGAGGAAGAAGAGGAGGAGGAAGAGGCAGAAGATTAGCAGATAGACGAAGCGATCAGGACCAGAGTAATACGCTTAGAGATGTTTCTCCCCAATCCCTCTATATTGATTCAGAGAATTTTAATTCTGGGTCTTGCTGTTTGACATAATCCGTATTTATTACAAGAGGAGATTGGGTGATGAGGGGAAGCGATCAAGGTCGATTTCTCGAACGGTTTAATCTATATGTCACTCCCTCCTCCACCTCTTGCCCAGATAAACGCACGTCAGAGTAAACAATTCGAGAAATCATATACATATGTGTGTGTGTCTCTCTGCATGTGTCTCTATATATAGGTGTGCATGTGTATACATATATATATATGTATGTCTGTAGAAAGTTATACAGACTGGGATTTTGAGGTGGAGAAAAAGAGGGGGGGGGGTCACGATCATTCCCAAGCGCTCCAGACGTGAGTTTGGGTGTCGGGGAAGGCCATAAATCCTGCAGGTTTGGAGACAGGGAGAGGCGAACTTTTGAGGCTGAAAACTTGAGGAGGGGGTGACAGAAGATTTCCAAGGGAGAAAAGCTCGTATTCTGCGCCCCCCCCCCGAATTTTTCGTCTGGCACTCCCTTCCGCACGAAGTCTCCCCGGAGCGAGGAGAGAAATCCAGGAATCGCTCCTGAACAGATCGATTTAAATCTCTGTCTTCAGGGGAAAGGAGTTTCGCCTCTCTCCGCTCCGCTCCTTGGTCCTTCTGCCTCTCCGAAGGGCGTGGGAATATAAATCCAGCTTTCCAGAAGGCTGGATAGGACCGGGAGCACCCACCGACCGGCCCTACACGAAGTCTAAAAGGGTGTGAAGGATAAAGCGCGCAGGGAGCGAAGCTGAAGTTTTTAAATCCGGTCCCATAAACTGCATAAATAAATAAATAAATAAATAAATAAATAAATAAATAAATAAATAAATAAATAAATAAATAAATAAATAAATAAATAATAAATAAATAAATCACCCAAAGCTCAGCCCCCAGGAGGTAAGTTCCCAAAATTATTCGGGCCGGGGATGCGCGAGTTCCGGGAGAAAAGTTACGCTCCCGTCTCTGAGACATCACACAAAAAACGCGAATAATTGTATCTCAAGAGTGGATAAAATGCCAGGCGGTAAAATAAATAAATAAAGGAAAGAGACAGAGAGGAATACAGTAACTTCTTTATTTTTAAAAGGCAAAACCGACCTCCAGATCGGGAATCCAGTGCCTTGAAAGCTCACGTTGATTATTTTTTTTCGGAGTCAGACCTGTTTATCATTCGGATATTTCTGTCCAGGTAAGAGAGCGGCGCCTCACCTCTGATTTCCGTGCACCGCGAGAGCAGGCAGGCAAGGGCCAAACGTGCCGTAAATTTCCTAATTAGAGATTTCGCACCGAGACAAAAAAACCCTTAATGAGTTTCATTCAAATCCCGGCCATTGTGAGTCCATGGTCAGTACCCCAGTAACATCCCCTTCTCTTGTCTTCTTCCCCCCCCCCCACCGCCCCACACCATTTATTTTCCAACGGCCCACGGGGCTGCTCGGGGTTGGCTTTTGTGAAGATTTTAATTTGCCTTCTTATCCCGCCTTTGATGTCCAAGATCGGACCTATAGATCTTTGAAGTTCCTGATTACGTGGGGGAAGGGGAGGAAATCCACCAACTTCTATGGATCTCGAAAGTATCCGAATCTCTGTTGTGTTCGGGAAAGAGCCTCCAAATTCGAAGCAAAGAGAGCCATTCACACTCAAAACTGGAGGGGCCGGGTGGGGTTCAAGAAGAGAATCAGAGTTTATTTCTCGCTTTTAAAGTCCGTAGGAAGGAACGCCAACCACTGTAGGGACGGATAAACCGGATTTTATCCGGGGGAGGTGGCGTGTCCAGATGATCTCAAGAAAGCAAAAATAATCCGCAAGCAACCAGCTCCGACTCTTTGGCCAACAAACTAGTTGGTTATAATAAAGTTCAAACCACATTCTTTGACTAGTGGGATATAACAGATACAAGTTTTCTCTAATCCAAAACCTGTCCGTTATTGTTATTCCCAAAACCCCAGGCACAGGCAGTCAAAGTTATAAAAGCATTGACTGTTATCACAGATACAAGTTTTTTTTTAACCGAAAACGTTGCTATTGTTGTTAATTTCAGGCCAGAATTCGGAATAATAAAAGAGTCTGGTGGCCTTCTTAAGCTTAATAACGTTTATCACGGACGTCGGTTTCCTCCAAAATCGTTCAGGACGCATCCCCCCCCCCGGGAAAGCGGCTTTCTTCCTCCCACCCAGAATAAAATCCAATGCAGAGCACGGGTCTTATAATTCCTGCCCGCTCCAGGAGCATATTTAATTTAATTGCCAATGAAAGGAGAAAGAATAATACGTATAACGACGACGACGCCCGCATTATTTATGACCGTACTGGCGAGAAGTCTTTCTTTCTTTCTATGTTTTTTTTTAATGCCACCAACTCCGGGGCAGGGTTAAATCTCAGCAAAACGGCCCAAGCGATTGGCGAAGAGGCTTCCCCACCCGCTTGGTGAGAGAGAGAGAGAAAAAAAACAGCCGGCAAATAAAAAGACAGCGACGTCAGTGCAGGGAAAGGCAGGAGGGGAGGAGAGAAAGAGGAGGGGAGAGAGGGAAAAAGGGCCGGAGTGAGAAATCCAGGGAGAGAGAGAGAGAGAGACTTGAAAGAAAGAGGCGGGGCTTGCGAGGGAGCCTCCGGCTGTCAATCCAAAGCGAGCGCCCCAATAACCGCCCGCAATCTGTTCGGACCTGACCTGAGCGAGCTGCGGGCAGATCAATAGGAGAAGGGAAGGCAGAGAGAAGCGCCCGAGCCTTCAAGAGGCAGCTGCCGGAGAAGGAAGAAGGAGGAGGAGGAAGAAGAAGAAGAGGAGGAGGAGGAGGAGGAAGAAGAGAAGGAGGCAGCCTCCGGCCTGGCCTGGCCTCCCCCCCTCCTTCCCTCCCTCCC